GCTAGTGTTTAGTCCTGCTTACTACAATCTCTATAACTTGGAAGCCAACCATACAATCAACATAGATTTTGTAGGATGTGGGTGACCATATAATTCACTATAAATTCATTTTATAGTGATTCGAAATAAATTATTGAGATTAATGGGTATCCTTGACAAGGAGGGGATTCCCTCATTGACAATGATGTGGCACAATCCCCACCATGTGAAATCATCTCTCCTACTTTATTCTCTCTCCTTCACATGGTGGAGATTGTGCCACATCATTATCAAGGAGGAAAATTCCCTCATTGTCAAGGATACCCATTAATTCTCTAAATTATTATAACTGTCTATTAAATAATTAAACATGTTTGCAGGCATTGGCAGATTTTATGGCCGAGCTACGAGGGAATAAAGTTGAGTTCGACCCAAACAGCTTGGTCCTCACTGCCGGCGCCACGTCCGCCAACGAGACACTCATGTTCTGCCTCGCCGACCCAGGCGACGCCTTTCTCCTCCCGACTCCCTACTATCCAGGGTTTGATCGTGACCTCAAATGGAGAACCGGAGTTGAAATAGTCCCAATCCATTGCTCAAGCTCCAACAGCTTCCACATTACAAAAAACACCCTTGAAGACGCGTATAAACGCGCAACGAAGCGTAAGCTACGTGTCAAAGGTGTCCTCATAACCAATCCATCGAACCCATTAGGCACGACTGTGTCCCGACCTGAACTTGAAACCCTTGTCGACTTCATCGCATCGAAAGACATTCATTTGGTTAGCGATGAGGTCTACTCCGGCACCAACTTTGATGGTTCTAGATTCATCAGTGTTGCTGAGGTTACAGAGGGTCAGGTTGATTTATCTGGCCAAGTCCACATTATGTATAGTCTATCGAAAGACCTCGGTCTCCCTGGTTTTCGAGTCGGTGTGATCTTCTCTGCTAACCAGACAGTTATAACTGCAGCTACAAAAATGTCAAGCTTCGGGCTCATGTCATCACAGACCCAGTATCTTTTATCGGTAATGCTGGCCGACAAAAAGTTCACTAGAAAATACTTAATTGAAAACAAGAGGAGGCTCAAGAAGAGGCACGAGAAGCTCGTTAACGGGCTTCAACGGGCCGGAATTACTTGCTTGGAGAGCAATGCGGGCTTGTTCTGTTGGGCCGATACGAGACACTTACTACAGCCCAACAATTTTGAAGGGGAGATGGGTTTATGGAAGAAGATATTATTCAACGTGGGACTAAATGTTTCCCCTGGCTCATCATGCCACTGCGATGAGCTTGGGTGGTTTAGGATTTGCTTTGCTAATATGAGCGAAGAGACGCTTGATCTCGCAGTGAGCCGGCTCGTGTCATTCGTCGAGTCCGATGGTGGGGCCTGTCGACGCCGAGGAAGGTTCGGTCTGCAGTTGAGGGCGCCGGCAGCATCGATGGCCAAATGGGTGCTCAAGTTGTCCGTGCCGGATAGAAAGGCCGAGCAGTCACGTTAGTTAGTACGTGTAAATTGTTTGGGCAAATGTTTGTTTGCATTGTTTGATGTTGGGTGTAATTTTTCTTTTTTTATGTATTTTTTTCAGTTGTTTTCTTTTTTTCGTGAAACTAGTAAGGTCACTCAGTCCTGATCTTAGGATTTTGGAAGTGGCCAAGGATGTTTCATGTGTAAGTAGGTGTTGTTTTTTGACCTGAACCAATTAATGAATATGTTGTTGTTCAAAACTATAAGTTGATGATATATAGCTTTGAGGGCTTCTAAAGTCATCAATTTATGAACAAAGTGAGTATCAATATTTGTGATTGTCTTCAGTTGAATTGTTGTCATACTCCATCTTTTCTATACATAATTAGTTTGCAACTATCTCATACTTGTGATGGTGAAATTAGGGCCCATGTCCAATACAAATTAACAATTAGTTTGAATTAAAGTTCTCTCAACTAATTTGGTTGTTGATAATCATACTCCCTTTAAAAGCATGAGTTTAGGGAAATCTTTCAATGGTCAATATTACTCTTCATTATTTTGAATATTTTATTTATATCTTAATCTATCCTAATCATAATTACATCCTATCCTAATCCTACGTGAAATATCTATAACTTAACAATTTAAAAAAAACTAGTAATAAAAAATATAAAATATCTTTAAGGTATTAGTTTGTTAAGATAAAGAAATTATACGTAACTAACATACTATTGTAAGCGTCAAAAATTACCTATAGGTTCCTGCACGCAGTTCGAGACATGGAGAAGACGATGAACGTCATTATCCAAGTCAAGGAGGATTATTTGACATCGATAAGCGTATGAAGTGAGTCGACGAAGAGTACGAATCAACGGGACGGGAGAAACTAAAAGACGATTCAATCGGGAGTTACGTTTTACCCACGAAACACAAATCATCACTCGTGTCTCATCCACTCCACATATGATTCACCCATGGGAGATTGTAGATCTCTTCTCTGGCTTTCCAACGCACTTTAAATTGTGTGATTCCGAGATCGGACGTGAAAGTTAGAGCCAAAATAAAGCCAAGACATAATGTGTGTCTCGGGCTTGATAGAGCTATTTTGGCCATGATGCGATTCGAATATGAAGAAGCTCAAAAGACAAAAGTTGTAGAGATCTTCATCAACTTTCCAACGTATCTTTAATTGCATCATTCTGAGATCAGACGAGAAAATTATAACAAAAATAGTCAATACGCATAAAACGACGCCTCGCTCGAAAACCGAGACACAACAAGTGTCTCAGCCAGCCGAGACACAAAGTGTGTCTTGGCAACCGAGCACAGCAGATTTTGTCTCAGACAGGCGAGAACACTTTGCTGTCTCGGTCACGAGACAGAGATTGTATCTCGGCCATGGCCGAGACACAGAGAGTGTCTCAGGCCCGAAAATACTACTTTTGGTCGTTTCTTCACCGTTAACTGTCGGGATTTTGGTAGATTATGATCCAACTGATATGAAGCTATCTTGGAACGTGGTTAAATAGTTACAACTGAGGATGAGATCAAATCGATGGTTCTTATCTGAAAATCAAGCTTCTGAAGCCTATAAATATAACTCTAGGGCCTTCATTCACACAGATGCAGAATTCTTGTGCATCGACGAAGCCCTGTCGAACTGAAGAGTGAGGAGCACGAATTTCAAAGAGGAGAAAGAGATCTTGGTGAGCTATTCAGCATAAAAAGGAAGAGTTCGAGAGATCTGCATCCTTTCATCCATTTTTCTTGAGATCGCACCTAGCTGTGATTCTCGAGAAGAGTGATTATTTCGCTTTGCCAAGATAGTTACTTTAATTTCTTGACTCCTTTGCGAGTCAACGAAACCTATATCTTGATATGATTGCTCGGTGGTCCATGGATAAACCCCAGCACAGGCAAAGATCTCATACAAACAACGAATGATAAACGTCCATTATGTGTGTTTTAAGAGCGTTGTAATCTTTTGTTTTTATTTTTATTGAGTTCATTGTAACGACTGAAGTTGTAATGAGTCCACTAACGAAAGAACCAACTTTCCACCAAAACACGCTGGCGACCACAGTAGGAGCCAACAACCTCACTACCGAGGCTGTCATGCCGCAGCCGCTGACCAAGATCTCTGTGGATGAAGAGGTCAAATTCGAGTTCGACCAGCAGAAGTTCGAGGACTACATCTCCTCCTCCTCCTCCTCCTCCAGATCTTCATCTCCTTACAAGCGTAGGAAGACAATTTTCCTCAAGAAGATTCGTTGGTCTTCAGATCTGAGGACTCAGGGTGACAATCTTCACCTAAGTGTTGTTGAAAACTCCTCCCCAACGTCCAAAGAAATTGGATCCGGTGCTCGCCGCAACTCCTCAAAAATCAAGGAGTTGCTCGCTAAAAGCGCACCCGTGCTGACGAAGAGGGCTTGTCAGAGGCGCCGCCAATGTCTTGCCCGACAATTTGCCAAGACTTTGGAGCAAGTGGACGGACTCTGCTACCAAATGGATCTAGAGTTTAGAAGACATCAAGTGGCTAAGCCGTCGCCACACCAAGCTTCGGAGTCTTCCTCCTAACCGCCGACTAACAAATGGGTTCGTGTCAAACAAACTCGTTCCACTCTTGAGGAGCGCATCCAGAAGCACAATGCACTTCTTGTGCACACACGAATCCTTAGGCAAAAGGCACAAGAATTACAAAAGAAAGAGGTGGTCAAAGAATTACCAAATCCAAACAAGTCTGGGAGCCATTGGCCAAAGCAGCGCCTAAAACGACACCAAAAACAGCCAAGACGCCATCACTTAGGGAGAGACACCAGTCGTGTCTCTCACCGAATTCCAGCTCCAAGGCTGCTTCCAAGCCTTTGTCAGCCTCTGATCCTGCTCCACTTGTTCCCGTACCTCCGGTGAAGCCTTACGGCAGCGTAGATTTCTCCAAATTCAGAATTCTGTTGAAGGATCATTTTGGTCCACTATACGAAGATCGAGGCAAAGCTCCTGTTAAGGAACGCTTGGGTCCACTAAATAATTCCCGAACAACTATTCAAACTGGGGGTCATACGCGCCCTCCTAACAAATTGATTCCTGGAACCACCCGCTTAGGGGTTCGTGTGGAAGACCGGGAGCCCGTTGGGATTCCACCTACACGAAGGTGTAATTATAAACATGTGATTCCTGTGAACGCTAACAAGACATTACATCCTCGGAAGAAGATGTGTCTGTTACATGATAACGTCATACCTGGGGAATCAAATCAACAGTCGATAGGTTGCTCCAACCACAACGTTGATGAGTTGTACTAAAATCAGACTCGCACTACCTTTGTGAGAGGTTAATCAGGGCAGACTTATCAGAGTGTAGCTATCCCAAGACCGCTTCACAAAGGGTCTCGGTATTCCGAAGGCTTTCCACTAAAGCGTCAAAACCCAAATCAAGACGCTCTCACAAAAGAAGATCTACCATTCAAGATGACGAACTCCCAGAAGTCACCATCAACATGACTGACAAAGAAAAGTATGTGTTCAATTCGAATAACACCAATCCCGACTTTTCTCCTGGAAGAAAAGTCGATTCAGGAATAGTCCGGCGAGTGTCTCGGCTCCAGTTAGAAGCTGTCAGACATAGGGATTACCCGAAGATGCACAAAGGATTATCTTCAGAAGATGAACTTTCGGATACTTGCTCCACAATCGCCTCCAACGATATAATGTCTAGCATGGGGGGAGCTCGAGAAGTATTCTTGATCACTATTGAACAAGTGGTTCAACTTCTTCAAGACGCCTTGGCCAAACAAAAAGAATATTTTAAAATTGAAATGGAGATGGTCGTACAGCGGGTCAAGGATTTACATGCTCAATAACTTCAGGAGTTGTCAAATCAGCATAGTGAATCCAGTCATCGCCAAACTACCAATCAGGTAGATAGTGACTCAGAGGTAGAGGAGACTATCAATGTTGATGCTCCTCCCAATGACAAAGATACTGGGGGTGGCCCCAACAATAATATCAATACTAGGGGTGGCCCTAACAATTATACCAACACTGGGGGTGACCCCATCACTAATGACAACGATGAGGGTGTTCCCATCGTTCGTCCTCAAAATCGCCCGAAGAAAGATACAAGTGACGACGAGATGATGAAAGAGTTAGAGAATAAAGTTAATGCCTTTGTAATGACCGTGAAATTTTGATATTAATTAAAATATTTTTCTAGTATTTTAAATATTTAATTATTATTTTTAAAAAGAGTATTTGTATTTTTCTCAATTTTCTATAATTTTCTATGATTTAAAAATTTGATTATATATTTATTTAAATGATTTTGATATTTATAAATTTATTTTGTGCGGTAAAAATTTCTAGAATTAATTTGTTGAGATATCGGTACTATTACGTAAAATTTTAAATAATATATTGTATTATTAATATTATTACAAATTATTTCATATAATACATGGTATTATTAATTACATGTTTTTGGTATAATTTATTGTATTATTTCTATTGTTACATATTATCTGTCGTATTAGTATAACTAGTACGTTTTACTATGTATATAATTATCCCATAATTATTTGATTTTAAATATAAGTAAATATATTTTTATTATTATTTATTCTTGTTTAATTATACAATATGGGTATATTTCGACTATTTTCGTATCAACTGTTGTATTAGCACAACATGTACGTTTTTATATGTAGATAATTATTCCGTAATTAGTTTAATTTTTAAGTACACATAATTATTTATTTTTAATTATTTTTGGTTAAATTTCCTAACCCTAACCCTATATAATAAATATATATATATAGTATTACCTCTCTCTCTCTCGTAATCAATTTCCGCCGCCCCTCTTTTTAATTATTTTTGGTTAAATTTCCTAACCCTAACCCTATATAATAAATATATATATATAGTATTACCTCTCTCTCTCTCGTAATCAATTTCCGCCGC